AAAGCAGCCACAGTGCCTGCTCCAGACACTTAGGGTCTCACAGGGGGCACAGCACACTCTCCGGGAGCCCCTGTCTACATGGTGGGGAGCACGTAGCCCTGGGGGACATCAAGGAGGGACCAGCCATCTGAATGAGTTGGAGAAAACTTCCCGGGGTGGGGGGCCTAAAAGATTTTACCTCTGGATGCAAGGATTGTGGCCTAAGCAAGCCCTTACATGTCCCTTCTTTCTGGGACCCCCTTTCCCCCCTTCCCCTGTTCAGTGCTGGACCTGATCCCTGGTCCAGTGAAAGAGTTCAGGAATGACACCCTCTTAGGAGCATAAACAGTGTACTGAGGACCTTGTCAACACAACACCCTCAACCCCCCAAGGGAGGGAGCTCTAGGGTGTAGAGATGGGGGAGCGGGGCCCAGGCAGAGCCCATGGCAAGTGAGGGCAGCAGGTGGCTGCACCCGCTGGTCCCAGCCCAGCCGGCTCTGCTGGGGCAGCAAAGGGGGCGCATAGGGGATGCTTCCTCAGGCCCGCCAGGGAGGGTCTGCCAGGGGAGCTCGGGCGGGAGCGTGTGTCCCAGCTCCGGCTCTGTGCCTGTGGGCGGTGGCAAGTTTCCCAGCCTCCTCAGGCTCAAAGCTCCTTCCCTGCCTGAGATAGGGGTGCTGATGGCCCCGCCACCTCTGGGCGGGTCACAGCCCACGCACTCGCTCAGGACAGGGCAGGGGAATGTGTGCCTGCTGCTCGGAGCCTTCGTGAGGTGGCTGGATCGGCGCAGGGCCCGCCTCTTTGGGCACCGAGGTGGCCCTGGCCGTGATGTCCCCCGTCCCTGCTGTGGCCCCCCTGCAGGTATGTGGTCTTCCTGAAGCTGTTCCTGGAGACGGCAGAGAAGCACTTCATGGTCGGATACCGGGTCAACTACTACGTCTTCACCGACCGGCCGGCCGAGGTGCCGCACGTGGCCCTCGGGGATGGGCGGCGGCTGGAGGTGCTGGAGGCGCGCAGCTACGTGCGCTGGCAGGACGTGTCCATGCGGCGCATGGAGGTGATCGGCGACTTCTCGGAGCGGCGCTTCCTCCGCGAGGTGGACTACCTGGTCTGCGCCGATGTGGACATGCAGTTCCGCGACCACGTGGGCGTGGAGATCCTGAGCCCGCTCTTTGGCACACTGCACCCCGGCTACTACGGCCGCGGCCGGGAGGCCTTCCCCTACGAGCGCCGGCCCCGGTCCCAGGCCCACATCCCCCGCGATGAGGGCGACTTCTACTACATGGGCGCCTTCTTCGGGGGCTCAGTGTCAGAGGTGCAGCGGCTCGCCAAGGCCTGCCACCAGGCCATGATGACCGACAAGGCCAGCGGCG